CTTTGTTCTCTCCCCACATATGTGCACAGGCACACACACACACACACACACACACACACACGTACATACATATACACACAATAAACAAACAAGTAAAATAAAAAGTTTAACAGGGACTAACCAAAGCTTTACAAAGTTTTGTAGTTATCTGGGAAGTGATGACAAGCACCTTCAGAGTTCACTGGTTAGCGCAGGAGTTACTGGGGGGATTTAAAGAGAACTATGGATTTCTTTCCTGAAATTTCCAATCCTAGGGATCTTTAAAAATTTTAAAATGACAAATAACTGCGACAGTGTGTGAAATTGCCTTAAAAGAGGGGGGGGGCAGAGAGATGGTTCAGCAGTTAAGAGTAGTGACTGCTGGTGCAGAGGACCAGGTTTGGTCCCTGGCACCCATGTGGCAGCTCACAATGTTCTGTGACTCTAGTTCTGGGGGGTCTGATGCCTGTTCCTGGCTTCCATGTGAAAAGCGGGCATGGGAATGTGTGTCTGCAACCCCAGTGCTGGAGTGGGAGCCAGTGCAGAAGACGGGGTGCAGAGGCAGGAAACTGCTGGAGCTTGCTGGCCAGCCAACCCAGCCAAACTAATGTGCTCCAGGTTCAGTGAAAGAGCCTGTCTCAAAAACTAATGTGGAGAGCAAAAGAGGAAGCCACTAATGTTGACCTCTGGCACACACACACACACACACACACACACACACACACACACACACATCTATAGGTATACCCCCCATTGAAAAAAACCCTCTCCCCCACAAAACCCCCACACGTGAACCTGTTCTTTCAAGGAAAGGCAACAAGGTACAAGAATTACATTTTTCAAGCAATTCATACCAAGAATAGAGTCCTAGTGAACATGTGTGTCTGAACATAGATGTGCTGTGGTTTGGACTCTGTGACCCCGGAAGGCCCATATGTGAAAAGCAGAGTCCCTAGCTCAATACTATTGACAGGAACTTTAATGGGTGGGGCCTGGTAGGAGGTCTCACACCACTGAGACACCTTTGAGAACTCTTTTGGGACCCAGTCATGTCTGCAGCTTTCATGTGTGCCACCTGCTCCCTACCTTACTATAGGCCTCGGAGCTACGGGCCAATTGATCATGGGCCAAAACCTCTAAAACCATGAGTCAAGATAAGCCTATATAAAAACAGTTGTCTCAAGTATTTGTAAGAGCAATAAAAAGCTGACGAGCATAAGACAGTTAATTATTACATTATACTGCCACAGCTGCTATATGAGTGCCACAAATAAAGATACATGCCAAAAAACATCCAAGACCAGAATTTGCATCTTTTTTACCTGCAAACACACACCAACCCAAATCCATCCAGAACATTTGCCATGGCAGGTAAATGAGCTCAGACCCAGAAGCACAGCATCTGTGCCTACACAATGTGTATCATGTTTACTTGTAAGTTCTACTGAAATGAACAGACTGAGAACCGGCATGTCCACATGCCAGGACTTAGGTTTCACCTGAGCGACCTGAGCCTGATCTTGTGGCTTTCACTTTACAAGGCATGCTTATACTATAATTTTTGTTCTATTAATATGTTGGAAATTTTTTCATCATATTAACTTTACATCTTATCTTGTTTGTTTGTTTGTTTGTTTGTTTGTTTGAGATACAGTTTCTCTGTGTAACCCTGGCTGTCCTGGAACTCACTCTGTAGACCAGGCTGGCCTCAAACTCAAGAGATCCCCCTGCCTCTGCCTCCCAAGTGCTGGGATTAAAGGCATGTGCCACCACCGCCTGGCCTCACATTGTATCTCTTTAAAAGGTCTATATCTATCTATATTTCTAGATTTCATTTGTTGGGATTTATTATTCAATTATAGTCAATTAGATATGGACACTCTCAAATTCTCTTCTATAGAGCAGCACACAAGGAAAGTGTATGTGGATGACTTGCTTACATAGTGGCCCTTACGTGGATGAGGTGATCAGGGCCTACAAGCCAGAGCCTCTGTCTTAGAGCCCCAGGAAGCCAAGTCTGAGATTGGGTGATTTGTTCTGTAGGCCCAGGTAGATAGAGAACTGTAGTTTCTGGAACATACACTCACAGTTACTTGCTCTATCCAGACCTGGTGGCAGTGGTCTCCCTAGAACAGGAAGCTCTTGGTGAGAATCTTGGCAGACTATATTTTAGGCCAAATATGTGGCCCAAAGAAGGCTCTATGAAGAGAATTCCACAAAACTTATGCTGCTGCTTACTTTCCTGACTAATTCCCATGCTACAGCCTTTGTCCCACCTGGATAACTAGCTTTTCTGCCTTCTTAGGCATGGGGAATGAGGTAATGAAGAAACACGAGTCCCCAGAGAGGTAACCATGGATCTTCCATAACAAGCAAAGCAGCAAGGAGTGCATTATGGCTTCTGCAAAGGTGACTACTGCCTTGTTGTGCCATTCAAGGGGAATGGGCATCAGTGCAGGCATGGTCCTCAGGCCCTTCTCTCCACACACAGTATGGACGTCAGTGTGGTGATGGCCCTCAGGCCCTTCTCTCCACACAGTATGGGCCTTCAGCACTCTAGTCTGCTTAGACTATCACCCAGCATATTGCTGTACCTGGTGAAAGCCTACGTTTCCTGGCCTACTCTGATGCCAGGCCCTCTCTAATGCTGTCTCTGGTTAGCAGGAGTTCTTCCTTAGCTGTAAAGCAGAGTCTTCTAGGGGTGTTTTCTGACAGAGACTGATGTTGAGGCCTACCCATGAAGACTGTGGGCTTTGGTCTGGGCAATTCTAACACACAGCCTCAGTCTAGAGCTCCTGCTCCTAATGGAAACCACTCCTCTGGACACCTGTGGCAGTTCTTCTGGAGGTGCCACCGGCCACTCACCTCATTCTTTAATGAAAACTACAGTGTTTAATTCTTTCTTTGTGCTGTGGCGGGGGCATGCTTACACCATGGTGTCTATACGGAGGGCAAGGGCAACCTGAAGGGGTTGGCGCGCTCCTTCTACCACACGGGCACAGGGCTCTGACTCAACCTTCACCACTGACCCATTCTGCCAGTCCTGTTGCTGCGTTCTGCCAGTTTCGTGTGAGTAGTGCCCTCCTAAGATCTCTAAGACCATCGCTAGTGACTGGGAACCATGCCTGGAGCCTTGCCCACTAGACGAGTGACAGGCACACCTAAGAGTTCTAGGATGGAGCTCCCGACAGACTCCGTAGCAAAGAAGCCTCCTGCCAATTGCCAGGAGCAGGGTTGGAGGAGAAACCACAAACTCCATAAGGTCAAGTTAAGCCTTCTCAGTTAAGACTAAGTCAAAACAGTTTCCATGAGACTACCTGGTCAAGATAATATGAGAAGTTAGTGGCTTGTTAAAACAGCTACAACTACCTTGTCATGCTCCAAAAGGCTGTCTGGCCAGATTGTTGGCACAGCACCTTAGAGGAAGATGTTAGCTGTTTTCAAGGGCTCAGTTCAAACCAATGTGGTGAGGGAGATTCCTACGGCATCCGCTTTTATCATCTTTCCCGCTCCCTACCCCCCTCTCTCATTTCCCATGAGGCAAGCTTTCTAAAATGGTCTCAGTCTTTCAAGCTTAATAACAGCAACACTAAAACTTTCTGCACGAAATAAGGCTGCTTAGGAGACAAGGGTGGAACTCATTTTCTTGAACTTTGCCTGGGTCTCCACATTGTTACTACAGAGCCTCGTCACTCATTCTGGGAGCATTTCCCGAGTGTTCCTGACGTGCGAACACCAAGTCCCTATCCATGATTCAAGAATCTGCAGGGTCTGGAGGCAAAGGGGCAGACAAATACCTTCCGAGACAAGGCCCGGCTGGGCCACACACAGGGAAAGCAGGGGCTCTCAAGCATGCAGCACCAGGACCATCTGCCCTGGACCCAGACTTAGAAGGCGACCCTATCCCTCCGGGGCTGGCTGAAGTTCGGACACCTGACCCTGGGCACAGATGCTGCAGGACCATAGCCCACGCCGGTGGTTCCCCCTTCCCTGTCCTGTCCTGAACACCGGGGGCTTTGCCAACTTCAACCCCTACCAAAGCACCCTTTGAACCCTACCCTGAAGTTCATGAGAATGAAGAGGGTGGAGCTTGAAGGACTCTGATGCTGGGAGGAATACCATCCCGCACCAACACCGACCCGGTGGTGCGCCGGGAGCACTCGGCCGGCCTGCTACCCCGCAGCCAGGAATGCGCCGGAGGGCGGCGGCTGTCTGTCCATCTGCCAGGCCCGCACAATGGACCCCCTCACGACCCTGGCTGGCTGAGCTGGTTCCTGCGCTCCCAGCGGCCCCGCTATAGCGGGGACACACCCAGGCTCGAGGACGCCGCGAAAGCCACACCTGCGGCAACACGCGCGGACGGTCCCGGCGCGAGGCCCCGGGCTGGGGCGCTGCCCGCTGGCAGAGTGGAGACACGGGCAAGGACTGCAAACCTCAGACCCCGGAGCTAGCGCGCGAGTGACGGGTCCTAGTGGCACTCACCGACCCTCAGCGCCAGGGCGGCGGCGGCCGGAGGAGCTCTCTCGCCAGGTTCCCTCCCTTAGATGCCCGGTTCCGCTCCAGCCTCGCAGGGGCGGCTGCGGCCGGCGCTGACAGCTGAGGCCGCCCTGCGGGGAGGAAGCACCGGAGACAGGCGCGGGTGGAAGCACGCACCAGGAAGCTCCGGCTCCTACAGGGGGCGCGTCGGCCCGCGCGTGCGCAGTGGGCCGCCCCTGCAGGTGCCCCGGGTTTGCTCCCGGCCGGCTTTGCCTCGCCTAAGCTTTGGATTCGGCGCCTGCGCAGTGCCTGGCACATGTTGCCCAGCTCCGACAGAGGGCGCTCCACGTCGCGCTACGCCGGCTCCGAGTTCACCATTCCCGATCCTGCGTCTGCGCAGTACTCCCCGGAGGGCGCGCCTCCCG